CGTGCGTGCGTGCGTGCGCGCGTGCGCGTGCGCGTGCGCGTGTGTGTGTCGATCAAATTAATTAATTGCTGTAGATTCAATTTCAGAAGTATATATTTTGAATAAATATAATTATTGATAATTTTGTGTGTGTGCGTGCGTGCATGCGTGCGTGCGTATGATAGAATATGTACACATGGCTTGTATGTGTATGTAAAGAAAAGATTAAAAGTGCAGATATAATAACGGAAGAAATAATGGAATAACGGTGTCAATCGAAAACTATGTATTCCGATGTATTTGATTTCTGCTTGAAATCGTACGTTATTCCTCCTATTGTGTCTGCATCCTAAGAGAATCAAGGATATGTATAGTTTAAATAATAGTTTGCAATTTGCATATATAAATAATAATTGATAGATTACGAATTATTACTAAATTTCGACAAACCCATTTTTATTAAACTAATAGTACCGTGATATCTTTTCATCCAAAACAAATTTATTTAAAGGAAAAATTTTTTAAGCCCGCCCTTTCCTGTCATATGATTTATGCGCATTCAAAAGTAGAGATATATGTTCCATTCGAGTACTCTCGATCGAATAGGATACAATTCCTCAATTGACATCAAACATCTCATGTCTTATCTCGTGAAAGATTTTAAATTTCAAAAAAAAATTATTCAAAGGGCTCTATTTTTATACTGATACATTCCTCAAACAATATAATTATTATTATTGTCGCATTAATAGTATACTTTTTTACTTTGTATTATCGATTTATACTAATTGATATAAATAATTGAATAAAAAATATATTGTTTCTTAGCATTTATCAATTAGCGTATAATATATGTACGTATAACTTTACGTTGTTATTATAATTTTATATATTATAATATAATTGATATCACATCATATTATATCATCGTCATACTTTATTGTAGTATATATAAAAATAAATTCGTATTATTACGCACAATCTTTCGCAATATTATACACTGATATTCCAGTAATTAATTCTCCAATATCCCTTTTTCAGACTTTTCCAACTTTTCAGTGTGTGTATATTTTATGATTTTATGTAATTCATGATGTTTATGGTATGTCGCATGTAACATCCTACTTATTGTATATTATATAAGTATTTCAAAAGTGATACGAAATGCATACTATCGAGCCTACAATACTCAGTCAGAAATAGTTCCTCAAAAAGACGTCGTTTCGATGTCGAAGTTTGTTTTTAAAAGTCGAAAATTTTCGAAATTGTTATTGATTTCGACGGATTTTTTATTCCAATTTCAATTAATTTTCGAATTGGAAATAAAATCTTGAATTGATCTAGCCCGCATAAAAATATACTACTAATGTCACTAATGCAATAAGTAAATTCGATAAGTAGTGTCACTAATATATAATAATATATAATAATATATAATTATGTAATAATGTAATACGTATGTATACAATATACGGAGTATCCTAAATTTAAATGGTCAATTTTCGTGAGCGTATAGGGAATCGATAAACTAAGAAAAAAAAGTTCTTTAGAGATAACTTCGTTTTGGAGAAAATTACAAAAAAAGACAATACGTAATTTTCTGAATATTATCGTTTTCAAAATGCAATATTATTGTTTTCGTGACTTCAGCGACAATGCTTCACAGGTAGTGCGAGAGTATGCGCGCATACTCGATTTCCAAGCAGAAGAGTATCGGATCAGTGAATCATTACGTTGATACCAGATCAGTGTTTGGCTGCAACAGGAGTTGTCCATACAAGATGTAATGTGCATTGCTGCAAAAGGCCAATATTTTGAACAAATCTGCGTTAAGCAAGTGACAACGTGTATAAATAAGTGTGAATAAGTTATAAATAAGTACAAAAATGAAAACTACGTTTTGTCCTTTTTGCTGTTTTTTTCGAAACGAAGCAATAACGAGCATGTCTATATGTAAGACCTTTTTTTTAGTTTATCGATCCCCTACACGCTTCCGAAGTTTGACCATTTAAATTCGGGATATTCTGTACATACACATACAAGATAAAAATTTTCAAACGTAATGAGACAAATATCTCGAAAGATATACAAGATATTGAAAAATGCTTCAAACAAAAGTTATGTAATAACTCAGGCTACGGTCCACTTGAAGCATCAAATGTAGCAACAAATGCTTCGAAGCATTTTTGATTGGTCAATTAATAAAATTCTTTCTTCTGATTGGTCAATCAAAAGCTTCGAAGCATTTGTAGCGCCAAGTGGACTGCACCCTCAATAAGATGCAAATAATGGTAAAATTAATAATTTAAAAAAAAATTTTTTAAGGTCATATATAAAGACTATTACCATTTTTTTTTTAGTGAAATCGTGTTTTTTTTATATAATATGATTCCTCTAATTATTCTGCACATAAAAATATTATAGGTAGAAAAATCAAAGAATCAATAGTTTTCAAATCATTCTATACTTTGTTCTGGCACATATTGATATGTAATATTAAATATCTCGTGGAAACTATTTTTTTTTTTATAATCTCTTAATTTAATACTTTTATACACAGAATAATGAAACGAATCAATTAATATAAAGAAAACACTAATATTGCTTATTTAAAAAATTACCAATTTTGCTTACATATCTTTCTTAAAGTAACTATGTGCAGCACAGAATTTGCAGCAATATCGTAACAAAATCTCTGCAGTATTACGATAATGTTGCTGCAATGTTGCAGCAGTTACTGCAACTATTGTGAAACTTTGTGCTGTAGGGTGTATTTTCTTTACACCAATTAATTCATCTCATTATTTTGTTCTTAAAAGTACGATTATAAAAAAAATAATTTAGGAGATATTTAATATTTCATGTCAATATGTGCCAGAATAAAATATAAAATATTTCATAAAATATTAATTTTTTTGTATCTCTACCATAATTACTTTTATATGCAATATAATTAGATGAAACATGTTATATAAAAAAAAACTGTATAAAATTTCACTTAAAAAAAAAGAAACCTTGAAATCTCTTAGAAGCACGTCCATCTACAGATGATTTGTAACTCTATCAAAAGATACCCTCCTTGAAATAAAGTAAGCTCTACTTAAAATATTTTTTAGAATAACGAATAGTTTGGGTGAGATAATTGCGTCAAATAGAGCACTCTGTATATTTTTTTGAAGCAATTATGTATTGTGTTTACACTAATTGATTCATTTCATTATTCTGTTTCATTTTTAGCAGTAATTTTTGAGATAAGTAGGTATTAGTGAGCGCTGGTGAGCGCACCTTGACGGAAAAACAGAAAGCGGAAAAGCAGCAGCCAATCAAAACTCGCGTTGGTAGTCAACAATATTTCGGCTTTTTTGTATATATAATACTTACTACCAGCGCGAATTCTGATTGGCCGCTGCTTTTCCGCTTTCTGCTTTTCCGTCAAATTGTAAACGCGCCTTAAAGTATTCGCGCATATCGTGACTGTTGCTCCATGTTACTCAATATGGCGATTTAAAAGTAGCAAGATAAAAATTTTCCTCTCTTTTCTAGACAATTTTATTCTCAAACATGAGAAAATTTCTCATTGTTATACGTTTATGTATAGTTATTATATGCTTATGAGTTGTCTAGATCTAAAGAGTGGCCATGTATGTATGTACATACGTATATATATACGTTATACATGCATACATACATACGTATATATGTACACACACACGACAGCCTTTGCATCGTTTCATCGATACGTTATTCGTTTTATCGATACGATACAACGTCACCTGGTAACTTGGTCACCAAGTGAACCAAGTCACAAATCACCGTGCCAGCCATTGTCAAATATTTTCGCTAGTTATTTCTAGCAATTAATAACTAAAGTTCATCATTATATAAAATATATTCGCGTTCGCGCGCGCGAGTTGTTTTTAATAAACAAAAAAGTTATTTTTATTAAATAAAAATCAATAGATTGTAAAAGATGGAGAAAATGAAGAAAATAGACAAATTACCGTTGGATCCTCAACGAGAATTTTTGGACATGGATACAGACGACGAAGATTTTGGTCGACAAGGTCTTTTTACCATAACTTGTTTTTTTCAACATTTTTGATAATTGGTTTATTAATAAATTAATTGTTAATTAACGCGTATATACATACAAAAGTGTGCGTGCTTTCTAAATTATTTCAGAAAGTCCCGAAACCGAAGAGGAGCAATCTTCTGAACCGATCAGACCAGTCTTTGATGAACAAGATTTAAATAAATTGGTTATTCTTCCAAGTTTATTTATAGATACATTCTCACATACATATATGTATATCATTTTTATTTTTTAGTAATTGATTTCTCTCATTTCATTCTTTTATAATTGCACAAAAATGTACTATCTGTACATTATATCTGACGTCAAATATATATATGTATATATAAAATTATTAACTAACTAAAAAGAATATGATTAACATTTTTAGAATATCAGTTAAATCTTTCCAACAAACATCTCTATATATAAATGATATACATTTTTATGTTACATTATTTTAGGTACAATATGTAAAAGATTTCACGATTCTTCCTTCCATCAAGGACTCCGATTGGAACGAGGATTGTTATACAATAATTCAAAAATATTTCGAAAATCCAGCTTACACATTATTATGTATATATTTTCAAGTTGATACACTGAGGGCACGATTAAGCATCTTGGATGATAATCAAAGCGATTTCATGTATTTTTTACGAATACCTTGGCACGTGTTTACAGTCGATAATTTTCATGCCACAGTTGTCTTCGGCAGCATCAATCGTAACGCAATGATGTGCGTATTGAAAATAATGGAAAACATGTATGTCACCGTCGCACGTAACAGTAGCGAGTGGCCAGAGAGTATCTTTTTTTAATATTTAATTATGATATATATAACTATGTTTGATAACAATTTTATCGAGACACTTTTGGAACCTAAATATCAAAATTCTAAAAATAGAAAATAATTGATATTTTTAATCACAAATTCAAATTGCATCATTTTTCAAATCATATTTTTGAAATCATTGTTCTTCAGTTTAGTTCTATTTAGTTTTTCAACGTCAATCTTATTGTATAAACATTTCCTTATTTCTTTAACGAGAACAGTTATCAGAAACAATCTATTTTTCAATCTACATAATTTTCTAATGTGCTTAACCGAATGGGTTTACAAGCCGATGGGTTTAACCAAATTATATGTGCCGGGAGAATATCTGTCTGATATCGCGACACTACAGAGAGATAAAAAGTCAAATTCATCCGACAATGAGACAAATGGTCTGCATGTTTCTAAGGAATTGCAGGAGTCGGAAAAGGCATTGATTGATAGATTTGAAAGAATTGTACGATATTGGATAAAACAGATACGGCAAATATTGACAAGCACATCCACAAGCAACAGTGGACGAACTGTATTCGACGAGTTGCAATATTGGACGACGAAATGTTAGTTTTGAATGCTGTATTTCATGTTACGAATCGTAAGCGATTAGTCGTTCATGTTTATTACAATTTTTATTTTTGTCTCAAAAGAACATAAAATGTTTTATTTTCAGATTTCAATTTATGTTATTTGCACGATCAATTATCAAATATGGAAATTCAATCGATATTGCATCTGTTAGAGAACGTTTGTTCGCCGAGCGTAGACTCCTTTCAACTTTTAAAGTTACAGCTTTGCGAAAACTTAGAACAAGCTTCATCCAATATAATGTATCTGAATATTCTATCAGAGGCTTGTAAGAACCTGAAATGTCCAGGAGAGATTGAAAAGCCCATAATGAAAATATTGTTATTGATACTATTCATCTGGACAGAATCCCCGTTTTATAATATGTCGTATGCGATCTTTAACGTTTATTTAATATAACATTAAAATATTTGACTATTTGCAATCGTAATCATAACATTTTGATTCCTGACTTATTTTAAAATTATTCACATATTTAAGAAGTTGGATAACGAAACAGATTTACTTGTTTATTTTAGGAATAATATAGAAGTACTTTGTGAAGCTGTAAGCATACAAATAGTACATCAATGTAAAAATTATGTTAATTTGCAAGTAATATTAGAAGGCGATACAGAAAATGGAATAAATATACTTCGGAAATGCATCTCTAGTTGTCAAATATATAAGACGATATATAATAAAGTATCTAAATTAAATATATGGCCAATTTTACCAAGCTTCCACCAAGCAAAATATTCTTAATAACCTTTATCTTATAAACATCCAAAAATAATTAATAAATTATCCAACATTAGCAAATATTAGTTGAAACAAAATAAATTATATCTAAAAATTCACAAGTTTAATAAACAATTTGAAAAAATTGTTAAAATTGGCTGTAATTTCTATAGAATTCGAGCATTTGTTCATTTTTTGCAAAAAATTAATTGCAGGTTACAAAGATAACTACACTTATTAAATCGAATAGTAACTGGGATGTAAACGAACAATTAATATTTAATTACATTGATACGTTTATGCAAAGATGTTATGATATCATTGAAATATGCAATATTTCGACAGTGTTTGAAAAGTAAGACATAATATTTTGCATACTCGGGGAAAAAATATTTTATTATATAATTATATATAAAATTATATAAAATATTATATATAAAATATGTCTCTCCATTTATATATACAATTATATAAAATTATATATAAAGCATTTTTTCTCGGTTATGCATATTCAGAACAGTAAATACATCACTGCATACACTTCGTGCGCACTCATTATCACACACGCACACAATTATAATTGATATAGTGTCATATACATAATTTTTGTAGGTGTACTAATGTGGGAATGATTGGCGGTCCAAATGGTATCAAATATGACGCTTATTGTAGTCAAATAGAGAATCTATTTTCTGAGATTCTCGATGAAATTAAATTGATTCGCCACGAAATTTTAGACGTTACAAAATTTTCGTGGCTAGAGAACATGCTGAATTTTAAGAATTTTGTGGTGGAATTAGAGAGCATGGTCAAAAATTTGATCGACTGTATATTTGATGAGATCAAAAATGTTGAAGAGGGTATCGAGGCAATTTATGCTTTACAACGCTTTAAACACAGAGAATCGTTGCGAGATTTATTATCGAGGAAATGGGTGCAGGTGAGAAAGAAACACAAGAAAACCAAACTTTTATACAAAAAGATAAAAAAAAAGATAAATTCAAACTTATATACATGTTATTATATACTAGAATGTATACAAAAATGTAATAATAGATATTTAATGCAAGTTTAAGAATATAAAATTTTTCTTTAATTAGTAAGAATGCATTTCTTCAGGTTTGGGAAATGTTTGATAAAGAAATTGAAAATTGTAGTGATAATATGATTTTATGTGAATCATATTATACTCCGTTTCAATGCTACTCAAAAGATGTAATTATGCTGTGCATTAAACAATATTTAGAACGATTATTCCATATCATGATTGATATGTCTGATTGGATAGGAGATTGTGCAGCTGAGACGTAAGTAAAATCTCTCTACTAACCTAATGTCCTTTTTATCTGCTCACATAATAAATATATTTTTATCTAATTAAAAAAATATAGGAGAACACTTGTAGTTTTTGTTACGCTATTTTATTAGATAAAAAAATTTAGAATCATCTTCTTTATATGTGTGTATGATCATTATATATTTTATTGTTTAAATTTTATATGCAATATATATAACAATATTATAAAAAAATTATTTTTAGATATATATTGGAGGAATACAAGCGAATGATGTGTCGATAAAAATAATAGAATATCATCGATAATAAAACATAATAGAGTGTAATGACCTGGGAAAAAATGTTTTATATAATAAAATTACATATAAAATTATATAAAATTATATATGTATATACATAAAATTATATATAATTTTATATAATTATACAATATGTAAAACATTTTTCCCGGGTAATTTTGATAAAAATTATATAACGTATACACACTAGTGCTTGTATATTGTATAAGAAAAAATATATGAAAATGGAAACTCTAAAAATTCGCAGTATATCAACTCTTGAATAATTTTTCTACGAAGATTGCTAATAATAAACTCAAACAGCAGAAAAATCTATGGTAAATATGAAATATAATGCACCTTCCTCCGATTTTCTTGTAATTTTGTAAATTTATTATTTCCACGCGTAGAATATATTCTGAGAAAGAAAATCGTCGCTTAAGTCCCGGTTTTTTAAATTAAATTTTCAAGTTTTTTGATGTCAGTAATTAGGAAAATGATAATTATATAAAATAAATGATAATTATAAATATTTATTACTTATTTATAATTTTAAAGAAATGTTAGATTTAAACTTTAATCCACAAAAAGAAATAAAAAGATATTTTTATTAAAAAATACCCGGGAAAAAATGTTTTATGTATAATTATATAAAATTGTGGCGATAACTTTGAATTAGTTAGGCCAGAAAAATGAATAACGGATCGTGATCGATTCGAAGTATGATCGACCGCGGGG